AATAAAATAAGTTTTCTGTATCGTCAGTCGTTTTTTCCAAATAATTACCAATATTTCACAAATTCTTCATGTTAACTTAAGAGCACAGCTTTGTGTCAGCTTTGCTTGGTTCATCTTACTGGGGGGCAGCTACATGGATGTCGGTGCAGTCCACAATCATTTTGCAGTTGAAGGCAGAATGAATTTATTATTGACTCAGAATGAAGCACAACTTAATGTTATACAATACATTGACTTTATTTGTAATTGTGTAAAAAAATATGAGCATTTATTAGCAAGCAGGACCTGCAGGAACAGAGAACGGTGATGGGTGGAGCCGGGAAGAGAGAAGAATAAAGAAAACAGATCAACTTTATTATCGGATATTAAAAATTCAATTTCAAAACAAGTTGCCGCTCCTACAGTTTTCTAGTATGTAAAGATGATTTCACATGACCTATGCAAAATATCACACTCAATACATGTGTGTCTCTGGGGGGTGCATTGTGCCTTTGATGTATATAAATAATATACCATAACCAAATACTATTACGTACAGTGGAAATCAGGTTGCCAGAGCAGGTCAGTGTGCATGTTCCTCAGGGTCTCAGCAGTTACAGGTGAGGTAAAGAAAATAAAAGAGAAAAAGGTCAGTAACAACACTTTAAAGTAACAACACTGAATAATTATCTCTTTTAATAATTTTCTCTCAGTAATCACTCAACTACTGTCTTTCCAACAAACAGATTGACTCACCCTCACTGTCATCACAATGACACATGTCCAGAAGAATGTCATGCAAAGCTCCCTGCCTGCCTGCCTGCCTTCCTTCGACTCTCCCTGAACTGCTTCCTTAGCACCCGGTGGAGGGCGCAGTAGGCTACTCTTCAAATGTTTCATGAAATACTTACCATGATGACTACTCTTACTGTTTAACATTTTGGTGTACTTCATGTAATAAAATAATAACTTCATGGTAAGGCTACTAAAAATGACAAGGCTAAGTAATGTAATGCTAACTAACGTGCTCGCTACTCGTCGCTACTAGCTAGGTAGCTAACTTGACTATGTTCCATGCACAACATGTATATTACCTATGATATTACCTGATATGTCTGATCCAGCGACTCCTGGTCCTTTCATAAGATGGGAAGCCATAGAACGAGCAAGTGGTATGATCACTTTTGTGATTACAACATGGTACAAAGCACACAGGCATCTTGTAAAAGTGAATTTATTGGAGCAATCTCTTATATTTATTGGAGGGAATAAATCAGTTATGAAATCTTCTTCTTCGCTTTAATTACGAGTCGCAACCACTTGGAGCATTATCGCCTGTGACATCACATGCGCGACCCAGAATGGGATTTGGGATTTGTAGTCTTTGTAGTCGCGTATTTTTCATAGTCTTATATTTCAACAGTTTTACGACAAAATGTGACTTTTTTGACATGGAAATTATTGTTTAAGATTGACAAACATCATATGTGTAGTTCGTGGCACAATTCAAACGGGATCAAAATATACGTTTTCTCTCTCCATTAAATTCAATGTATAATTTTTCGCTTCCGGGGTCCCATGGACCGGAAGTAGATGGGCGTGACTTCGCCTCTCTATACCCTTTTCGTAAAAGTTGAAATGTTGAAGTGTTTTGTGAAATGCTGTGGTGTTTCCTGAAATGCTGTAGCGTTTTGTGAAATGCTGAAGCGTTTTCTGAAATGCTGTAGCGTTTTGTGAAATGCTGAAGCGTTTTCTGAAATGCTGTAGTGTTTTGTGAAATGTTGAAGTGTTTTCTGAAATGCTGAAGTGTTTTGTGAAATGCTGAAGCGTTTTGTGAAATGCTGAAGCGTTTTCTGAAATGCTGTAGCGTTTTCTGAAATGCTGTAGCCTAGTGTTTTTTGAAATGCTGTAGCGTTTTGTGAAATGCTGTAGCGTTTTCTGAAATGCTGTAGCCTAATGTTTTGTGAAATGCTGTAGTGTTTTGTTAAATGTTGTTCTGACTTGCACTTCAGGGCCACCGTATTAATCGTCTAAAGAAGAAATACTGCTTCAGAATGTTGTCGCGGCTCTATACTCCCAGGGGTTGTTTATTACTCTGGTCAGGTGACAACAGGATGATTATCATTTTTAATGAGGTCAGAGCATCTGCTGCTGTTGTAGGTCAGGGTTACCAGCAGAGAGGGGCTTCCCCAGCCGCCTGCCAAACAACAGTCAGTGAGCTCTGACTCGCCAGCGGGTCACTCCTGCAGGCCCGGGTCAGTTTAATCAAGTTTCACCGGAACACACAGGAATCGGTTACAGTTACAAGGTAGTAAATAAATTAAAGATGCCTACAAAAAAGAAAAAAACAAGACAGAGTGGAGAAGAGGAAACCAAAGATGTGGATGACGAAGGCTCAGAGGATCAGGAACCAAAGCCCAAGAAGAAAAGTAAGTAGGTGAGTGAGTATGCTGGGAGATTGAAGAAGAAGAAGCTTAAAGACAGCGATGAAGAAAAATCTAGTTCTGACACGTCAGAGGCAGATGTGAGGAGCACCAAGAAAAAAGGGAGGGATAATCAAAAGGTCAAGAAGAAGAAGAAGAAGAAGAAGAAAGCTAATGAGGAGAGCGGGGATGAGTTGAGCAATGACTCACAGGATACTGACAATGGAGACAACAACAATGAATCCAAAGGGAAAAAGAAAGCAGAAAAACTCCCCAATTTGATTGAGACCACTAAGAAAGGATCAAGACGGTCCTCGGACAAAGATAAAATGCCAAAGGATAAAAAATCCAGCAAGGACAAAGGGGAAGAACATACAGCTGGGGATGAAGAAGGTAAAAAGAAAAAAAAAGAAAAAAAGAAGAAAGGTTCAGATAAGGGAGATAGCGATGATGAAACCAAGAAGACCAAGGGAAAAAAGAAGAAGATTGAAAATTATGTTGAAATCTATGAAAACGAGCTTCGCAACTACGAGCCAGAAAAAGTGGAGAGCTACGAGGATGAGTATCACAAAAAGAAAAGTGAGTGCAATGTTTTTATCTCAACCTGTGAAATTTTAAAGGTGAGCCTAGAAATTAAAACAGCATGTCAATATTAGATCAATGTATGTAAGCTTGTTGAGGAACGACACCTGAGACCCGGAAGGGAGGTGAAACATTGATTGCAATTATGGGATTATGAGGGGCCCCAGCAGTAATGGGCCCATGTTTTGGTTTGATGTTCATGGTAACATTACACTGTGTGAAGTACCATTCATGTTGTGTTAGTATGTTATCTTCAACCTACAGCTATATGACACCTGCCACTCACTTACCTTTACAAAGGTTGGTTGCGCATCTTAATGAGGGGCTTCACTTACCTCTAAGGTATCTTTGTAGCTCTCACTGTCTGTAAAGCCATTCTGAATGTCTATCTGATCTCTACACAGAAACACATACCTCCTTAAACTTTAACTTAACCTACATTTACCTTAATCAATAAACAATTATTTTAAACTTACAAAATTTCACTTTGGTTATTAATCTTTCTCCTGCTGTAATCAAACTGTAAAATTGTTTCTGAAACACTTTCAATTGTATGTTGTGACTTAACCCTGTAGTATATGAGGTGGTGATCATCACTGGCGATGAGAGAGGAGCAGGCACCGACGCCAACGTGTTTGTCACTCTATTCGGAGACTATGGCATCACTCCCAAAGTCCACCTGGCCAGCAAGTACGTCAAATATGATCCCATTTGGATAAAAGGTCTTCTACAATTGTAAAGACTTTGGTCAAATAAAGAATCATTATTTCACCTTTATTAATCACGCTGCTCAGAGGCCTCAGTCACAGCCTCAGCCAGTTTGAAACCATATTTGATTAAGTTGATTGGTTCGTGTGCTTGAACTCAAACTGTTTTGTTTTTTCTCTTACAGCACAGAGAAGAGGTATGTATTACCTTACGCCGGTGGTGATGTTGATTGTCGATCAAATCTCATACAGTGATTTTGTGGAGAATTTACATCACATTATTTGCTGCCTGGCTTTGTCCAATGTGTGCACAGCTTTAATGGTTCAATATAAATAAGTGCAGGCAGAAAGTTTTGTTAACAGCAGAAATGTTACGGTGAGTGAAGCAAGCAGGACCCAAACGCAGATAACACTGAAAAATCCTTTATTTCAAGGCTAAACGTCAAAAACCAGAACACTCCCCTGTGAACACAGTCACAGACAAACGACGAACCAACAATGACAGACAGCAAAAACAGAACATAATACACACAAGACTAATCAACGAAACAAGAGACAGGCGAGGAGGGAGGAGAAAACACAGGGGCAACAGGTGAACACAATCAAGTAAACAGGTAGGAGGGAACAGGTAGGAGGGAACACACACAGACAGGAAACCAAAGGCAGATCTAAACAAGACAAAACACAACGCAGACAGAAAACCAAAGACAGATCTAAACAAGACAAAACACAACACAGACAGATCGTGACAAGAAATTCTGGGTCGCTCTCAAGTTTGACCACTTTGTGTTTTCAGGAGTCGCACAGCATTCGAAAGAGGAAAAACTGATGTGTTCAGAATCAGAACTCACAATGTTGGATCTTTGAAAAAGATAAGGTACCTTAGTCTTAACACATTTCATCCCGGATCCATTCTGTAGAATATTTTTCAGTTTGACAATGGTCAGGTTTGAACACTGTTGCTTCAGGATTGAACATGACAACACGGGCCTGAGCGCCAACTGGTTCCTGGACCGGGTGGTGGTGACGGACGTGATCCGGCCTCACCTGAGGTTCTACTTTGCCTGTAACAACTGGTTCAGTAAGGTGGAGGGAGACTGCCTCTTTGTCAGAGATCTGCTGGGTAGCATGGACCCCATGGACATTCCCAAATGTATGTATACACAGCATAAAAATAATAATAAACTAAAGAATAATAATAAAATGTTATTGAGATACTTTTTATATTGATTCTAACTGTGGTTGCTTGTGATTGATTCATTTTAAGGTGTTTGTATACAGGTAGGTTCATTTTCTGAAAAACCTTGATCAAAGTTTTCGGCCTTAATTTTCCAGATAATAAGTATATAGTGAGTGTTTTCACTGCGGATGTGAAAGGCAGTGGAACAGATGCAGATGTTTTCATCAACATATTTGGGGAGTTTGGAGATACAGGTAAATTACAGCACATAACACTTGTTTTCTCATGTTTTCCTACATAAGGAAGTTAATAAGAGCTTTTATGCAGTTTGGGTTCTAATCAGGATTTATCTGATAGAAATTAAAGATTGTTTTGTTGTCTAAGGTGAAAGACGACTTGACAATGACAAAAATAACTTTGAAAAGGCTACAGAGGACAAGTTCACCATCGAGGCACCAAACTTGGGCAAAGTGAGGAAGATCACCATTGGCCATAATAACAAAGGCTCTTCAGCAGGATGGTTTGTGGACAAGGTAAGAAACTGAAGTTGTTGTTTACCAGAGTGTGTCTTTAGGAAAAATATGCCATTATTGCTCAAAACTGATACCCCTTCATACATTTTTTAAGGCGAATAACAAAAGAACAAAACATGTTACTTTAATGTGTTACATCAAGTGTTACAATGAACAAAACTGTGTTTAAAAGTTTAACTGTAACTATTTCTGCTCAGTAATGCCTCTGAAGAGGTACTTAAGACATGTGATCCTCCTATTCCTCTCAGTTTTCCTATCTAGTCTAGTGTCCATGCTCACCCAACACAGTTTGCACGACTGAGAGATGAGTTCATTCGAGCAGACGCACATACACACACAGGACACACATGTCGTCATCCTACCCTGTCTGTAAAGGGAAACCATGACCCATTAAGGGATCGTCTTTCAGCAAACAGACAGACGAGTCGATGGATTTGTTGGCAACTGCACCACAGACTGACACCAAAGATCAGCAGTAATAAATTATAACCTTTTGGCATTGTACATGTTTACATGGATTTGAGAGTAAATATTACTTGAGCTCATTGCTGCTTAAACATGTTTAAACCTATATGCTACATGTTTAAAAGTATTTAAGTCTGTGAAACAAAGCCTAGAGGACTCAATGTAATACATTTAAATAAAACTTTAAATATACAACTATACATTTCATTTCAGATATAACCATAACCATGACTATACAATCTAAAAAAAACACAGCAGACAACGTAACAATCAAATGATGTTAAGCATAAATATTGTATATTAGATACATACATGTGTTTCCAGGATCTAAAATATATTTTAAAATATATTAATACAAAAAAACAACACACAACAATGTCTTCAGAAAACGTGTTTCCTTTTCTGTCTGTCATCACCATCCGGGCCATGTTGGCTCTGATTATGTTCTTATTTCTCCTTTTCAAACAGGCGGTAGTGGATGATATGGGAAACAAAATAGTTTATGAATTCCCAATGAATCGTTGGTTTGCCATCGATGAGGATGATGGGAAGATACAGAGAGACATTTTGGTGGGGGGCAGTCAGCCCACAGGTGAGACATGTTGTTTATGAGCCAGGAAAAACCTTCCCTATACTCTAATCCTCATGTCAGTGAAAGAAATGTGGCAAGAAAGAAAATGAATATGTCTGTTTCCTTCAAATGATTTGCCTAATTTTGAAATAATGACCCTTCAGAAAAATATTGCAGAAAGGATTGTATGACAACAACATTTCTACTGCCAGGGAACAGATCATTTACTGTTCCTCTCATTCAGTCCAGCAAGAGAAATGTGTTTTCAGTCAGACTAGTCAGAGGCAGTGATCATTAATTCTCAGGTTTAATGTTTGGATCCGGTTGATCTGCTTCCTGCTCAGCACCGTAGGGAGTACAGGTGCAGTGAACCATACTGACCTGCTGGCAGATCCTGATAGCATCTTGTGTAACTGTACCCACCAGGTATTGTGTACAACGTCCAGGTCGTGACAGGAAACATCCGAGGTGCCGGGACCAACTCCAAAATCCACATTGTGATGCACGGCTCAAAAGGCCAAAAGAACAGTGGCAAGGTGAGGAGAAGATAACAAAAACAAAGCAAAGACAACTTTTACTCTTTCTAAAAAGCAATGGTTTTCATTTGTATTGCTTGAATTTCCAATATACTCTCTGGAAAATGCTACATTTTCTAACCAATCCGGTGTTTAATCTACACAATCGTCTATATTAAAGAAAGATTGTGTTTGTTGTCTCCTGGCTTCTCACACCACACTGGAGCCATGCAATGAATACTGTTGATGAACACATGTAACCAAAGTAAATACGAGACTGGTAGAATAACATAACGATATACAGTGCTGTAGGTGTAAAGGTGTTCTCTATACATCTTTAAACAATTTTTCTATACTATTTATAGTAACTAGTTTAGATGTGATGATAAAGGTTCAGATGTCTGGAAATAGACGGGAAAGGGTTTGAATATTAGTCTTTAAAAGCTGTACGAAACAAGTTAAAGACATTTCTGGTGCTTAATGATCATCCCTCTGTTTTATGCCACAATGAGAACATTGAGTATGTGATTATATATTTTCTGGGTACATCTGTCGTAGAGCGGTTGAACAAGTGTTTCCTTTTATTCTTCTCACATATTTTTGTATTCAGGTGTTTTTGGAAGGAGGAAAGTTTGAGCGGTGCCTGACAGACATCTTTAATGTTGAGATCGCTGCGCTGCTCAGTCCCCTCAGCAGAGTCACCATCGGACACGACAACGACGGAGTCAGTGCTGGGTGGTACTGTGAGAAGGTAACACGCACACACACACGCACACGCACACGCACACGCACACGCACACACACACACACACACACACACACACACACACACACACACACACACACACACACACACACACACATGCACACACAGACACATGCATACTAGGGCTGCAACAATCAATTCATTTGCCCATTATCTTCTAGAATAAGTGTTTGGTCTTTATAAAGGAAGACAAACTGAATATTACCCATCCAAGATGTCGCCTTTAAATGTCAGTCCAAAACCAATAGATATAAACTTTGATTTAAAACTCAATTGAAAACAGAGAAAAATAAGACATTTGTATAATATGATGAAAACAGCATTATCAGCCAATATTGCACAAGCAAATAACATTTTTATTTTATTTTTAACATTTTCAAGGTAGGAATCGAACCTGGGACATAACAATAATATAGCATGTAACAACTTAGTAACCAAGGCAGTCCATGAAAATTCACTCTAACAATAAAAACAAGTAATAAGAAGACAGTTGTTATCGATCGACTAATTACTGATAACAACAGACTACAATCTGGGAATAGACTGAGATATTTCGGCTGAATCAATGTTTTTGCAGGTGGTGGTGTTCTGTCCGTTCACCGGGATAGAGCAGACCTTCCCATGCTGCAAATGGCTGGATGAGAAGGAGGGAGATGGTCTGATAGAAAGAGAGCTCCATGAGATGGTCTCACTCAGGCAGAAGAGACAGAAGAGTAAGTTACAAACATTTACAATTCTCAAGCAAAAAAGTCCTTTTCAGGGGCTTCACAGACATTTTGAGGAGTTGGACATTCAACCCCCTCATCACAAACTACCTCTGTAAACTCAAAGGTACTGCTACAAGAGTAAACACCCTTGTTAAACTGACCTGATTTGGTTCTGCTCAGAGCATCCCTGGTCCTTGTGGATCTGGACGTCAGACCTTCCCAGTGCAGGAACCGATGCAGACATCTCCTTCCAGGTGTACGGAGACAAGGGCAAGAGCGATGAGACCAGACTGGGCAACAAAACAGACAATTTTGAGCAGGGACAGGTGGACAAGTTTATGGTAGGTATCTCATGTTTTAACACCACACATCATTAGTACTGTTCGTCAGATAACGAGGCTTAGGAAACTTCTTATCTTGATGTGCCCTTACAGGTTGAGCTGCCTGATTTGGGAAAACTGATCAAACTACGTATCTGGCACGAGAAGAGAAATCCTTTCGCTGGATGGCATCTCAGTAAGGTGTGGGAAAATAATTTATAATAATTTGGCAAACTTACGTCTATGATATGTTAAACTAGTGTGTAATTCACTCACATGCATTTGGCCAGTATTTGATTGACAACTAAGATTGTTTGTGATTCTATATTAATTAGATCTAGACCAAAAGTTGTAATCTTTATTATGCCTGACAAATTAAAAACACTGCTTGTTTTCAAATTAGGTAACTATGATGAAGACATTAACAAAGGAGAAATATAATTTTCCTTGTGAGCGCTGGCTGGACGTAAATGAAGACGATAACGAGGTTGTGAGGGAGCTTTCTGCCACAGGAGACTTTAACGCTGAGCCCCTGCCCGGTTGGTATATCCACCTGTATTCATCATAGCCAATAGAAATCTACTTTGCCAAATAAAGAGAGGAATGTAGCGTAATACCTGATTAATTTCTATTGTTTTGTTCTCCAGTAATAAAATACAGGGTGACAGTTTGCACAGGGAGTATCGGCGGCAGTGGCACAGATGCGTCTGTGTTTTTAAATCTAATAGGAGACCTGGGAGACAGTGGAAATCGGGACATGGTCAACTGCAAAAACAACGTCAACAAGTTTGAGAAAGGAAACGTGGGTACCCTCCATACATCATTGTTAGACATAAAGCTTATATCAGGAAGGAACACTCAATGATGTGCCCTCTCCTGTGTCAAATACTTACTTACTTCCCCTCCGCTACCGCCCTCATTAACAAGGCCCGACCCCCCCACTGACACTTTACCTCAGCCACATCATAGACTCTATGCATTACATTAATGCACACAATGTACAACATTATTTTGTATTACAGCTGATTTTTATTCCATATTTTATTCCTCTATTTCATTCCATTGCAATGTAAATACTGTTATATTTTACTTATATTTGTTATTATTTGTAATATTTTCTAGTTCTCTACCTGTGTTTTTCATTTTTGTTTTTATGCACCACGACACCAAGTCAAATTCCTCTTATGTGTTAACCTACTTGGTAATAAACCTGTTTCTGATTCTGATTCTGATATAGTTTTGCTTCTTTCTCTTTCAAAAAACAAATGACAAACCTCCATCCAATCAACAAGCCTTAAACATTTCCTTTTTTGACAAAAATCACTCATTTGTGTGCTCTTAATTCATTAAATGAGCCACACTTGTAGCATGCTGCTTTCTGTTTCTGGTTTGACAAATTTAGGGGATACGTTTCAATAATCAGGGACCAACCCCAGATGGAGCCCTGCATATGATTAATACAAAATGTTTATGGGTCAATTGGACTATGCAGTTAGGACAATTCTAATGTGATTTGTCAAACTATCTGCAGCTTATGCGAACATTTAATTTCAATGTTGTATGTGCTGATTTAAAAACATTGGCCATATCTGTCTGGTAAATTGCTTGTTATAACAAATCCCCCCAATCATGTGATGCTGCCTAATGTTTTTGTGTTTTTCCAGTATGATGAGTTTATAGTGGAGTCAGTATCCATTGGGCAGGTCCGCAGGGTAAGGATTGGACATGACGGTAAAGGTGGAGGTTGTGGCTGGTTCCTGGATAAAGTCATTGTAAGAGAAGATGGACAGGCTGAGGCTCAAGCTGTGGAGTTCCCCTGCAACAGGTGATAAGTCTCAGTGTGGATACAACATGCTGAATAGTTGTTACAACCACAGGAGTGTGTTTTTGTAATCGCTGAGAGTTTTGATCATTGGTAGGTGGCTGGACCGTAATGAGGATGACGGACAGATAGTCAGAGAACTAGTGCCATTTTCTGATGGACAGCGTCTTTACAGTAAGTTAAAAGAGTCTTGACGTTTTTCTAACATTTAAGTTGACTCCCCAGTGTTAATTGTTGTGTCTGTGTGTCAGACGTTGACTATCACATTGCTGTGAAGACGGGCAGTATCCCTGGGAGCAGCTCGGACTCCAATGTGTTTGTGAAGCTCTACGGAGAGAAAGGTGACACCAGTAAGATCCTGCTGTTGGTCTCTGACAACAACCTTGGGAACTACTTTGAGACAGGTCGCGTTGACATCTTCGTCGTGGAAACTTATGACATTGGAAAGGTGATACCATGAAGACAAAAATTAAGAAGCTTTAGAAATGATTAATCGAAGGCATGTAGTCAAAGATGTTAGGGTTCAGTCCTTCCATCCATGTGCTGTCAAGGTGCTTGCGATGGAACACATGATAAACATCAGGGTATTTACATTTAAGCAGTTTGCATTATTTATTGTCTGGATTGTGTACTCGCATTTGTATATGAAACACATAGCAGTATACTACTTGTATTAGACTGGGTGCATTAGGATGTGTTTGTGAAGGTAAAAGTAAGACATAAGAAATTGTAAAAAGATGTATAAATGCTTTTGTCCTGTTTTAAAGTATTGTTTAAGCATGCATATGTCTGACTTTTCAGTTAATTTTAATCAATATTTTTCATCCCTTTAATCCCTTTAATTCTATTGCAGATAAATCGTCTGTTGATTGGCCACACCAATGAAGGCATGCGGGCAGGCTGGTTCCTGGACAGCGTTCAGCTCATGGTTCCAGTCCACGGGAAGCAGTACATGTTCCCCAGTGACCGCTGGCTGGACACGTCCGAGGCCGACGGCAAGACAGAGGTGGAGATCTACCCGAGCGAGACCCTGGACATGGAACAGCGTAGGCAACATTCACACACTCTCAAACCATTAGAAGAGACTATACAGAAACACAGACAAACAATTCAGGTTCAAAACCTAGTTCTAAAACTCTATTTCTTTCAGATTTGTTATATTGTCAAACATTTTTTACCAATTTTCTCTCATAATTACTTCCCAGTGATTAACTATGAGGTAACGGTAGTAACTGGAGATGTGACCTTTGCTGGCACCAACGCCGGAGTGTTCATCCAGATCTTTGGGGACAAGGGGAAGACAGAGGTCCTCACGCTCGCAAGCAGATCCAACAACTACGAGCGAAACACCACAGAAATATTCAAGGTATCAAAGCTTTGATTTTGTGCTAACTGGCCCCAAAATGAGTCTAAGTTGTTAAATCTGAATGCCAAAGAGAAGGGTAATGCTCAAGCGTTACATTTTGATTTGAAACAACTGTTCCCAGCTAGAGGCCAAAGATGTAGGGAAGGTCTTTAAGATCCGCATCGGTCACGACGGCTCGGGGATCGGATCTGGCTGGTTCCTGGAGACGGTGGACGTCAAACATCTCATCATGGCCTTGGTGCCAATAGAGAAGAAAAAGGAGGACAAGAAAAAGAAGAAGAAAAAGAAGAAAGATGAGGAAGATGATGACGAGGCCGGAGGAGAGGAGATGCAGGAGGTGGTATTGACTTACCACTTCCCCTGTTCTCGCTGGCTGGCCGGGGGGGAGGAGGACGGGGAGCTGTTGGTTGAGCTGCTCCCCGAGGAGGCAGAGGATCTGGAAGGTAGGAAGAAAACACAACAACTATATGTATTGAATAGATGCACAAGAACTACCTAAGTTTCTAATATTTGAAATATATATATATATATATATATATATATACATATATATACATAAAACACCAACATGTTTTTATTACCACCCACAAATCTGTGAGGCTACAATTTAACCATGGATACATTCTGGAGAGATTAATAACTCATATGCAAGATTCACTGGTGCATTTTTCACACATGTTTTTTTCTTGTACTCTGTGTTGACCTTTTAGAAATGCATGGTTGGTTTGACACAGTTGCTTTAAGTGAAAGTTGTTAGTAATTCATCCCCTGTATTGTCTGACAGTCAACACCTATGAAGTGTGCGTCTTCACTGGTGACACGCTGGGAGCCGGGACTGACGCCAACGTCTTCATCAATATTTATGGAGAAAACGGAGACACCGGAGAGCGTTATCTGAAGAACTCAGACAACATCAACAAATTTGAGCGGGGGCAGGTGGGTTAAACAAAGACAAGGCAGTCAGCTGAATCATAAAGGAAGGAATCAAATATGTTATTGTTTTATGTTAAACAGGCTGGAGAAAAGTTTACATCGTGCTTCACAAAACAAGCTTTTAAATATCAGAAGAGTTATTCTTTCATTAACTTGGATTCATAGATGAGGAGTATAAAAAAAAGTCTAGCCGGTGCGCTATTTCCAGTTTGATATGTTGGTTTGAGCCTGAATCACAAACACAAAATATTGTATTAGGGTTGTAAAATCATACCCCATTACCTGTAAGTGTAGTGAAGTCCTCTGTGTCATCAAACCTGTCCTACTTTTAATCATAACCTAATCCTAACCTGTGAATTATTCATGTCTGCATCACACCTGGCTGTGTAGGAACAATCAGATTGTGTCCTAAGATCAAACACGACAATTGTCATTCAGTGGAGAGAATGTTTGTTAACAGAAAACTGGAAAATATACTATATTCATTTCAGGAGTCTGTCAGCAAGAAAATGTTAATGATACATCCGTTTTTTCTCTTATAAGCTCACACATTTAATTTAAAATTATATTTATTATACAAGAAAATATTAATAGAAATATTAAGTGGTTTACAGCTGGTTCCTGTTATGCCATCCAATTCAACTCTAATGCCCCAAAGTTTACTTTTGCCTACATTTTTTGACTCTGTGTCACTGTTGTTAATCCATTGATATGTTTAGCACTGAGGTCAACGTTTGTGATGGACTGCATCATATTCTGAGGTGTTTCTAATTGTCTGCCCCCTCATGTGAACATTATAAACGTTGTAATGATAGATGTTAAAGCAGTTGTATAAGCCTGTTGCATAAGACTGCATTACAGTCCACGTGTTCTCATTTAAGTGGCCGTAAACCAGTATTGTCTGTAGCAACATTGTGTTTGGCAGGAGGATGTTTTCATCATCACAGCTGTTGAACTGGGTCCTCTGAAGAAGCTGCGGATCCGTCATGACAATTCTAATTCTCATTCATCTTGGTACCTGGACCGTGTTGAGATAGTGGACACAAAGGATGATACGACGTAGGTGAAAACCAACATATATTTTACATGAGTTTTGCCAAACTATTGAGTTATCAAGAGGAACGATCTAACTGAAAGACTTTAAAGAGCAATAGCTTTGTGCTATTATACAACTCACAGTGTCTAAATAACATGTCGTCTTTGAGTTAGCGTGCCCGATTAGATGTATTTCTTGGATATACAGGTACTATTTCCCTTGTACCCGCTGGCTGGCAGTGGACGAGGACGATGGACAGATAGCGAGAGAGCTGGTTCCTGTGGACGAGGCCTTCATGAAGAAGGACGAAGACGAGGATTCAGGCGCCACTCTGGGCCTCGAGCAGAAATGTAACTTTCAAATCTGACTCATGTCTTAGTAGTGGGACAAGATAAAAAGGGGACCTTCTCGAGTGTTTATCTGAGTGCTGGGGAAACATGCAGGTGGAGACAAGAGAAGAGCGACGGACTTTGAGTGATTGGATGAAAAGGTTTAAAGAACTGACTGATTTATTTTTATCTTACAGCCATGTCAACTACATACACTCTCAAAATAAAAACCGGAGAAAAGAAGTATGCCGGAACTGATGCTAACGTGTTTGCCATCCTTTTTGGTGAAAATGACGACACAGGTATGATAACTGTATTAAAAGGTCGATGCATGCACAATACAGAGATAAATCAATAATAGCATACAAGAAAATAGCAACAAAGATTATGTAATGCAAGATACAAGAATAAAAAAAAAGGAAGAAATAAACACATTCTAAAACAAAGCAATAAGATAGTTGAGGTACCCATCTGAATATAAAAATGTTCGTGTCACTCACAGGGATCATCAACCTTAAGGCTTGTAAGAACTACAAGAATAAGTTTGAACAGGGGATGATCAATGAGTTCACTGTGGAGGCGGTAGATTTGGGCGACCTGGAAACATTTCGAATTGGGCACGACAACTCAGGTGTGGAAAGAAAAGTCTCCTCAAAAATAAGCAGAACACTTTCTTAATGGTATAACGTGACTGTTTTCTCACCCACAGGAGGTTCATCTGGTTGGTTCTTGGACTGGGTCGAGATTGACGCCCCCTCACAGGGTCAGAGACTACGCTTCCCATGTGGCCGCTGGTTGGATAAAGGAGAGGATGACGGGCTGTTTGTGAGGGATCTTTATCCCGCTGATTTACAGACTGAACTCTACATGCCATGTGAGTGAACACAGCTGTGAAAGAAGTGTTTGAATCCATTGGGGAGAGTGACAATGCGCTGATGGAGAATTTGTCCTGTAACAGTGCTTTTTGCAAGTTTTACCCAGAAAAAAGGGAAGATTAGCAGTGAAATATGTTTAAAGCACTCAGTAGAAGAGTGGCTTTAAGAGCATAGACTCTTTGATGTAACCGGTTAAAAGTGAGATGATGTCACAGTGGCGGCCTGCATTTTAAACTTCACCATGGCAACAGTAATTAGCTTCTAGACTTGCACGTAAAAGAGTCCAAATACAAAGCTGCAGTCGTGGATACTGTTAGGTGTATTTACATTTTTATTTTCCAAAATAACACAATCAATATAAAGAAAACTGTACATTATATTATTATTGTAGCAGATTGAGAAATACAAACCTTTCAATTAACGCAATTAGTTGAAAGATTACATTAACCTGTAGTTGCTTTGGCATACCATAACAAAATACTAATGTATCTATCATAATTATTATATTACTCTTCTATCTTATCTGTATCAACCAAACAAAGCTGTCACCTTCTCCTCTCCTTCTCAGTTGTGCCTTATGAGATAAAGATATACACCAGCGATGTGTTTGGTGCAGGAACAGACGCTGATGTGTTCACCGTCTTGTACGGTCAAAAGGGAGTGTGCACACAGCAGAAACACCTGTGTGTCAACAAGAGAGAGAGACGTCTGTACTTTGAGAGAGGAGCTGAGGACATGTTTATTGTGGAGGTGAGATGAGAGTGTGGATTTGGATTATACAGCCTTAGAGACAACGGCTTCGGCTCTGTAAACATTGTGTTTTCATTTTCTCAGCTGGAGGATGTCGGAGACGTTTTAGAGAAGATCAGGATAGGACACGACAACAAAGGCACAAACCCAGGATGGCACCTTGACAGAGTGGAGATCAGACGACAGCTCAGGAAGGGAAAGGTAGTTAAAAATCTACTCTGCTATTTTTAGTTTTTTTCTTCATTAAGCTATTTACAGATTAATAATGCAACACCATTTGGCTCATATCTCTCAGAGATACAGGGCCAGGCCCAGTTTATTGATTTGAGTTTTTTAATGAACCCTGACATTCATTTTTAATGTCAGGGTTCAGAAACAACCATTTTCCCATGCGAGTGCTGGCTGGCCAAGTCTGAAGATGACGGGCAGACGGTGAGGGAGCTGGTCCCCTCGGACATCATCACAGAGAAACTCCTCAGGGATGGGAAGCTGAAGACGACTGAAGTGGAGGTGGAGGACGCTTTGGAAAGTAGGTTAACTCTGATTTCAGAGACTAAATGTAACTAAGCATATTTACTAGAAACAGCCATACTGTACTCAGTCTCATGTAACATTTGAGTAACTCGTGTAGAGAGCCCTATCACATCACCTGCATTGCAGCTCCACTGAGCTTAATGTAGCTTTATAACCTTTCAGCTCATACTGTAGTTTATCCTAATTGATTTACTGCCTGAACACACAGACTTCAATTGGAAGCTACTCAACAGAAACATATAAGATGTAAGCTAACATTATGTATGTCTACTTAATTCCTGTTTCTGTTCTTCTTCCATTACAGCTCACATGTACAACGTGTCTGTGCGAACAGGGGATATGTACGGAGCAGGAACCGATGGCAACGTTTATCTCACCATCTACGGAGACCTGGGAGACACAGGAGAGCGCAAACTGGCCAAATCTGAGAACAACAAAAACAAGTTCGAGAGAGCAGAGGTTTGTGAGGAAATGTGTGACATGTTATGTCATGAGTATTATGGCCATAAAAGGTTAAAGGACATTTTCTGACATTATGACATTTTTTTTGTGTGCAAATCTATGAGTTTGGTTTAAAAAAAAAATCCTATTCTTTATTCTTAAATGTGTATTTTTTATTCTCTCAGAAATGTACAACCAATCTCATAAATATGCAGAATGAATTGTTATCTTTTATTCCCTTCCACAGCTCAGTATTTTTTCTTTAACCTTCAGTGGCCCTTATACACTATCATACATGTCACTGCTGGTATACAAAGGCATCAAAATGGGTCTCTTTGTCTCTTAGGTGGACAAGTTCAGCATTGAGGCTGTGGACTTGGGCCAGGTGTTTAAGATTCATATTCGTCACGACAACTCCATGATAGGGGCCGATTGGAACTTGGACCAGGTGGAGGTGCTGGATTTGGAAACAGATGAGGTGTACATGTTCCTGTGTGAGCGCTGGCTGTCCAAGAAGAAAGAGGACAGAAGTATTGCAAGGACTTTCTTTGTGAAGGTTTGTGCAACTTTGGTAATTAATTTTTTATTTGCTTCTGCTGCTGTAAAATGAGTAATGAGAAGGAAAATCAAAGATTATTTGTCTGTTATGTGTTTGGTCCAGGGGTATGAAGGGGAAAGAAACATTGATCCAAATTCCAAGAAGATGCTTCAGGCCAAACTGGGGCTGGACAGAAACGCCAATAAGAAGAAAAAGAAGAAAAAGGTGGCAGTGGCTGAAGAAGGTCCAAGTAAGGCTACACAACTTTTCTGTGTTTCAAGATGAGGTTTGGCAATGCAAATTCAAAACCTTGCTCAGAGAATTATATGGAAAAAATACAGGCAAAACCAGCTGGGTAGAATCCTCAATAAATAGAATAAAACCAAAACGTTCAAAATAAAAGCCAACATTTTTAGAGATAATTGGACACGTTAAGTTCAAGGCTTCGTTTATAATTCATAAGTTACAAAAAAAAGGTCAAACATTTGGGAAAATATGCTTTTCTTCCTTTGGTTAAATAAAAAGACCTTGACCACGGTCATGTCTGTACCCTTTATATAACGCAAGGCATAAGTTTATCTCAGCATTAAGACTGGAAACAAAGGGAAACGACTAGCCTGACTCAGAGGAAAACAAAAACAGGTACTTATGCTCACTATAATGATTTCTAACTAACACATTACGTCATGTCTGTTTAATTCAAAGAAAGGTAAAAACAACTATTTGTGTTTTTTTCTTCAATCAACGCCATGTACATGTATTGTGGTATTTCTTGGCCGCAGGTTAAAAAATGATCTGCGTCTTGACAGATGAAAGAAAGAGGTTATAGACTGTTAGTAACATGTAATAAGATATAATACCAATTAGTGAGTTATAGAGGTGCTAGCTTTGGCTTTATCACCCATTGCCAGTCTAAATGTGTCCCCTTGTTGTTTAAGTGTTCATGCCAAGCTAAGCTAATTATTTGCTGGCTGTAACATTATTATTTTTCTACAGACATTGAAGAAATATCACTGCTTTCATCTTAATAATAAGCGCATTTACTAAATTGTCAATTAAATGTCAATGTAATCTTTTTAACAATCCACTTTTTGCCTTCCCAAGTCATCCCCTATCACTTCACTCTGTCCACTGGGATGGAGCGGGAAGCCGGCACCTTCGCCAGGGTCTATGTCATCATCACCGGCCCCAACGACATGGAGACAGACCGGCTGTGGCTGGACCTGCCGGAGGGGAAGAACTGCTTCACAGCCGGCACCATGGAGCACTTTGTGTCTTATGGGACTGACGTAGGAGAGATCAAGCGAGTGGAAGTGAGAATCTAAGACTGCCTCTCTTTCTAAATCTGTGTCTCCTCTCTGCTGCCTCCTCAGATGAGTCAATGTTAAACATTTAAATAAAACTATTCTAGCTCAGCAATAATTCATTCTAGCTGTGCCTTCTGGTACCTAGATCAAACAAAATCAAATGATATATAAATTCCCAGTTCTATCTTCCCCCTCCCTCCTCTCGCTCCCTCCTTCTCCCCCTCAGCTCGGCCATAACGGTGTCACACCAGAGAGCTGCTGGTTGGTCGATGATCTGTCGGTTGCCGTGCCAACCAAAGGTATTAAGTACATCTTTCCGTGTAAGTGCTGGCTGGCGAAGGACAGAGGAGACGGTCTGACTGCCAGGCTGTTCAACGTGCTGGACTCCAGCACCATCAACATTAACCGCAAAGTGAGTCACTGCACTAAGAAAAGAAACCCTGGAAACATTTCATCACACACACAATCAGTCTTTTCCTTATCTGTACTATCTATTACTGTCTATTGTAGGTTATTTATTCGGCAACGGTTGTCACAGGTGACAATCAGTATGCAGGGACAGACACCAACATTTTCCTGACGGTGTATGGAGCCAATGGGAGCACAGAGGAAATGATGCTGCCCAAAAATGGGGACAGGTCTACATTTGTTATCAGAGGAATAGTTCTGTTTTGGGAAATACACTTCCACACATTTTAAGAGAACCATGCCTAGATGTTTTAAAACTCACATAAATATCATTAACTTCTAGGTTTGAAAGGGACCAAGAGGACACATTCAGTTTGGAGGTAGATGATATTGCTCCCCTGAAGAAGATCAGAGTTCGGATTGATTGCTCTGGAAGTCGGCCTGACTGGTTTCTCGACAGGGTAACATACAAACTACACTATCACCTATCAGAATACAGTATGTAATTAAGAATGTTTACTACTATGTACTACTAAAGAAAACAGGGGCTTGTTGTTTCATTATAAAATACATTTTAAATTGTACTAAAATCCGAAATCAGACTACTTATGTCTGTCTGTTTTTGTCAGTGATATTCACCAAGAAAACATGAACAATGAATGTGTTGTTCTTGTAACTGAAATGCTTTTAGATCCTGATGCGGAACCTGAACACAGAAGACATGTATTTGTTTACATACGAGAATTGGCTGTCAAAGACAAAAGGGCCGAAGAGGATTAAGGTGTGTGAGCTGGGAGCTGTGGTGGATGAGGAGGAGATGGTGGAGAAAACTACCTACATCATTCAAGTCCAGACCAGTGATGTTGGAGGTAGGTCTCATGAGATGCCTGTTTTATTTCTAAAACAAAGGATGAAGAAAAACTATTTTCTTGGCTTTTGGGCATTTAAAATGTTCAATAGCATTTTGTAGAATCCATGCAATGATATAAGGCTAATATATAAAGATGTGATATTTTAGGTGCCGGCACCGATGCCAATGTGTATTTGATGGTGTTCGGGGAGTACGGGGACACCGGGACGCTGCCTTTGAAGGAGAGCACAAACAGGAACAAGTTTGAGCGGAAAATTAAAGATGTGTTCAGGTTCCCCGAAATGCTCAGTCTGGGTGAACTGTCAAAGATCCGTGTGTGGCACGACAACAAAGGTGAGCGCAAATGAACTAGAGGTAATCTTTGTTCTCTTAAATAGCTGAATTAACATTATTTTGATTATTTGGCCAAAAGATTTTCCGGTGTTGTCTATTATAATGTCCGTTTTTATAGGTTATATGTTTTACATGAACTGCCGTTATCTACTTTTTCTACATACTGTCTTCTAACATTAAAAGGAATATTTAGATGTTTTCTGAATGTGTGTTTCTTTTTTTGCCAAGAGTTAGATGAGAAATGCAATACTACTTTCAGACACGAGAGTGGTATTAATCTTGTAATCTAACTCTCTTCAAGAAAGCAAACAACCCATTTCACAAAAATGTCAAAAGTATTCCTTCAGGAGTTCCTTAATCAACTTGATATATTATATGTAACATCACAATTATCAGAAGGGCGCTCAACTGTTTTTTTTAGCATTAGATAGTAACAGAATGAAACTAAAAAATAAACATAATTGCTGTTAAAAAGCATCAACGTTTTGAAAAGATAATACTAAAGGACATTGTTGTCCTTGCTGTGAACAGGCCCCTGTCCCGGCTGGCACCTGGAGTACATTGACGTGAAAGATGAGGCCATGGACCAGACCTTCAGGTTTCCCTGCGACCGCTGGCTGGCTAAAAATGAAGATGACGGGCAGATAATGAGGGAGCTGGCCTGTGCCAATAACGACGCTATAGACCTCAGTGACAAAACCAGTTAGTAAAAATGGAAGTCTGTGGGCATAATCACAAGCTCTCTAATTGTGGGAGATGAACGACTTGCTGCTAATTGCAGCCATTTGCCATATGTGAAATGATCATAATGTGACAATATCTGTCTCTCTTCATTGCCACAGAATATGAAATTGCCACAACAACTGCTACCACAGACGACGCCTCCACCACGGAAAACGCCTGGATCGTGTTGGAAGGAAGGAAGGCTCGTTCTAAGGAGTTTGTTCTAGAGAATAAGAAAAAGAAGTTCTTACGGTATGTTTTCAAAGGGAGTATAGGTGCCTTGGCTCACAGTAAAACCATATTATGTTGCCTTATATAATCTGCTCTCTTTCACATGTTGTTTTTCTACCCTCTTTTATCTTAAATCTCAGCTCTCAGGAGAGCTAATCCCATAAGACGCAATTCATAAAAAAACTCTGGCACACCACTGAATTTAACTATTCAATGTACAGAATCTCACTCTCCATAAACTCTGCTTGTGTCTTCGTTTGCCCCTTCACAGCGGTGCCACTGATGCCTTTGAGTTCTCATCCAAACACTTGGGGGAGATTGCTGGCATCTGCATCGGCCACATAACAAAAGATGGAAAGAAGGTGAAGAGTGAAGCCTTCTGGCGTGTTTTAGAGGTGGTGGTGACCGAGAAGGAGCTGGGAAACAAGTGAGTTGAAACTCATACATCCTTCATTATGTTATATAAAGTGTCCCGTAGATGTACCTTCAAACCCTTCTTTCTTTTTAGGTATTTCTTCCACTGTGATGCACAAATCCCCCTGGCAGCCAAAAAAGACAAATTCCTGACATTTGAGTGCTTTAAAACCATCGAGAGCTTTGCGAGCAAAGTACGAAACCTGGTCCCTGTGAAGTACGAATTCATTGTCATCACCGGGGACGAGAAAGGAGCGGGCACGGACTCCAACGTTTTCATCAGCATTTATGGCGTCAACGGTGACTCGGGCAAACGGCATTTGCAGAAAAAGTTTCGCAACCTTTTTGAGCGAGGGCAGACGGACCGCTTTGTTCTGGAAATGCTGGACCTCGGGGAGCTGCTGAGGGTGAAAGTGGAACATGACAACAGCGGCACCAACAGTGGTTGGTATTTAGAGTGTGTGGAGGTGACCAACACAGCCAACTCAGTAACCACCATCTTCCAGTGTGGAAAGTGGCTGGACTCGCGTAAGGCCGACGGGCAGATTCAGAGAGTGCTCTACCCCAAATACTAGAAACTTCAGAAAAAGCCATTTGCCACCATTTTATCTTGTACAATTTGAAAAAATAAAAGAAACACGCCTTAATATTGCCCAAAGCTGATTATCCAACGCAAATCATTTTGTCTTGATTTGTAAACTCTTTGTTCAGCTTGATTGGTTATGTCTAGGTGACGCGTTTACACATCATGTTAGAAGAAAGGCCCTTGATGGCAAATGTATGGAAAGCATTTATAACTGTTTTGCCATAATTTACAATGTAGCCATTTTTTACTTTGGCATTATGTACAACTTGTTCAGGCTGAAATTGATGAGCCTTTTAAAGATTAGTAATACAAAGTAAAAGTGTATGGCTTTGTTTGGAAACATTGGTAAGCACAATCACATTCATGTTCACAAATTAAAATGATGGCCCACAAATAAAGACTGTTTATGGCTACACAATAATTATGTGTTGGCCAACAATTTTAATTGTAATTCAAACTGTTTAGGGTTGAGTATGAAGTAATTGATTATAAAAGCATGCCAAATAATGCCACAAAGTAGATAATTGCTTAGCATTTTAGGCAGTTTATTTGAAAAACACATACAAAAAGATCATATACAAGACAATAAATAAAAAAGAGACAGAACAGTTTGGGTTAAGCTATGCAACTTTTTGCATCATCATTAGTAATAAATACAGTACAAAATCCACTCATAGTGAATCTAAAGATTTTCCACAATATTCACTGATCATGTTATTCTTCATTATGATTTAGCTATTGCTTTCATATTATTGATACATACTTCTACTTTTCTATAAAATACTCAAGATCATAAAACATTGCGCGGTTACAGCAAAACAGCAGTGTGTTGTACAAAGATGGCCACTTCCCTTTTTCACTGGCAGGTTAATAATCAACATTTTTTCAGCAGCAAAGAAACATCTGAAATATTCAAGAAGGTACAGCATCATATTAAACACATCTACAGAGCTACTCCCACATACACATAGGAAAACCTGAGAAGGACATGCATTAAAAAGCTTGTGCTTTAAGTTCTACTGTTCATTCCGGTTCATCAGCTTGAGTTAATACTATGGCTACTGTCCAGTTTGCTCTGGAGTAATGGGGTACACTGTGGAGGACACGGGGTAAGGCCAGTGAGAGCATGAAATGAAATAATAAGAATAATAGTAAGACCAGCCAGCTTCATTCCAATCCAATACAGGTTATAATAGTTTGCAGGATTAGTAGAGTATTAATAAGAAATGCACACTGAAAACATAGTTAGCTTATTATACCCAGTGTGAAACACACTATCAATTTTGTATAACCACAGTACACCAGAAATGCGTGTAATAAGACCAATGGCTCAAGTTAGCATGTTAGATACTTTCAAAAATCCCACACAAAGCAATTGCCAGCAATACATAAGGGACAGTTAATACAGCTCATTATGTGGGTCTTAAAATAATAATAATAATAATAATAATAATAATAATAATAATAATAAGCACTACATTGAGATCCAGATATGATAGAATATCATAAACATGGTAAAAAATAAAATAAAATGAAAAAAACGGATTATGGGAAACAAAGCAGTATCATATAACAAAAGCGAGCTATTTGTGGAGCCATACTAAGACCAAAAGGGTTGTACCCCGTCTTCTGCTTCCTAGCAAAGCAGAGAGGATGTTTAATAATGAAAAGAGTTAAAGTAAATTCAAGAGGTGACATGAATGGAATGTAATCCAGATCAACAGCACCATGCTGGCTTAAAAATGTGTCAGGAAACACCCCCACAAGTCAATTTTTCAACAGGTTTCTTTTTTTTCTCCTTTGAAAAAGAAAACACAGACGGCATGCAAAAGCATCCCCACCGACCAATGCATAATGAGGTATTCTTTTTTAATATTTTGTGTTATTTTAAATAAATATATTGATTAAATTGCAAAGTTATGAGATAGAGACATTAAATATTTCACCACAATAGCTAGCTAGCTACAGTTAGTAATAAATAATGATTGTTAAATACTTAAGGCATCTTTAATCACAGCATTCTATGTGAACTAGCAAAACCTCCATTTTCATCCATCTGTAGTTTTTTGGATGGAGGTTTCATACAAAAAGAAAAAGAAAACGCAACACAAACAGTCAAGTAACCCTCCAATAATACACAAGGAAGCATGAAATACTTGGAACTGAATCGGAACACAAAGTCTAGGACAAGAAGAACCCACACCACCAAACCAAAAACTCAGGCAACTCCATATTATAGTGCATTTACAAAACACAAGCTACATTATAACAACAATAAATATGTTTTTGCAGCATTGCAGCTTTTTCTTCACTATGGTTAAAATGGACACGGACTCGGCATATTAGTACCATGTCCAAATTGGCATGTGAGCAAAAGAAATACGAGAAGAAAAATAAAATGGCAGAAAAAGACAATTCAAAAATTAAATTAATGTTAAGAACAATTGTTTGGTATTTTTCAAATGGATGGCTTTTTCTCCCTTTCACCCTCCTTCAAGTGAACTACGCCAACATGGTTCATGCATGATAAAGAGAAAACGGCTTCTATCACTGAGCGTATCACAGTTGTTCTAGCAATACCATACACTACTACCATGGGGGGGAGGGAGTGGGGACAATCATACACATTCTAGCACATATCACAGGCAAACTAGTTTGTATTTTCCCTGTAACACCAGACACAGTCTTTTTATCAGAACAGTGGGAGCAACTTAGTTTGAAATGAAAAGGAGCCGATACACCACAGAGGCCATTCACTGTATATAGAAATCACATGTGCTTGTTTGATAGGCAATAAGGTTCTGGTAATAGGTCATACAAATGTCAGATTGTATTCACTCTGATGGCAAGACCTCAGGCACCAAATCCTCGAACCCATGCCGGCCTCTCACGTCATGTGATCATGCTATGAGCGAGGCCACAGAGAGGAGTTGCACTTAGACACGGATCCACCACCAGCTCTTTGAATCCTGACCTGGAACATCAGGAGAGAATCGCTACGTCGGTGTGAGATCTATGTCTAAGGGCAACGTTGGTCTACTCGGGATGAGTGGGGGGAGAGGGGAGGTGGGGAGGGGAATTTGGTGCATTCTTGTCCTCCTCTATGAATGAGTGGGATCGTCATAGTATACGGTTCACATGCACAGACACACAGTCCCTGTTTCTACTGCTCCACAATATTAACGACACAGCCCAAGCCTGTCATACAGCATGCACATCTGAGGCCCCTGCTCTATAATAGAGGCCCCACTACGACACTACACAGATCACTGGAAGCCATGCCTGCAGTTAGCGGGTTCAGCATCAACTCTGATGTCATCTACTAACTGGAAATCCAAAACCATGTTAGACCAGAAAGAGGGATTTTTGGCCTTTTTACACAACTATCTCTTTCCTCATTGTCTATGATTAATCAACACGCAGATATTCTCTCTTATTTGAGCCATTTTCACCCTCTTTGTAGGTTTATTTTTCACAAACATTTTTTCTGAAAAGGCTTTTGCTTGCTACACAACACTGTTACTCTGTAAATACTTATTCAGTACTATACTCCATTACACCACAAGCGTTCAGCTACAAGAGTTCACACCAAACAACCTCATGCTAATCATTTGATAATGTTCTGTACAGATGTGCTGAGGGCTTGGGCAGAGTGCAGCTTAAAGGATTTTTTTCACAGGCAGAGGGTGGGGGGGGGGTTTAGGCAGGGGGGTTAGATGTAGTGGCAGAGAAATGGCCTTAATACACCCCACAGTGAGCTGGGGAGGTTGGTAGTCAGAGGTCCTCTCCATGGCTGTATGGAGAACTGCACACAGGGTGCACAATCTGACAGGATCTGTGTGAAGCCTCAGCACATCTGTCCATACGTGTCCGCTCCTACCTTTTACATCCAGCAAGTCCATTCAAATCAACCTTCAGTCCAGCCCCCCCATCTATGCATCGACCCCCATCCCTCGCTGTGTTGTAGGTGAGTGTGCTTTGTTGATCCCTCTGTCACAGCCTTGCCTCTGAAGGCAGGCCTGTGGGTGATGCAGAGGGGAAGAGAGGGGTGTTTGGCAGAGCTTCCCTCGGGGGGAGGCAATGGAGAATTAACGAGACCAGATCCAAAGCTGCAGGAGACGACAGGAGCTATCAACTGTCGGGGGTCAGTTGGGTCTCAATGTCCACTCTGCAGATGGGGCACTTCCTGCTGGTGGCCAACCACTGGTCCACACACCCCTGGTGGAAAAGGTGCATGCAGGGTAATCTCCTACAGACACAAATGAGACAAGATTAGGATAATAACAATAAATGTGGGATTCACTTCAAGAAAATGTTCAGTATTGTTAAATAGTTGACACTTGCAAACAGGTAACAACTAAAACTTCAACTTCACTCATGAGCAAAAAGAAATCCCTGCATTCAGATAATTCCCTGCATTTAGACAATATAATAGATTGTATAAGGGTTTATTTAATTTAAGAAGTAAAGTGCTAATGTTGGCAGAATTTTAAGATGAGGTGCTGGAAGAAATCCTTTGATTGGACGTTCAAACCTGATGCTTTGAACTTATGTGGCAGAACAAATGTACAACTACAATATTTAGAATAAAACGCGCCAGGCAAGAGAAATCAAGGAATATTTACACTATAGCACATTACAATACTAATACTAATCACTAGGGGTGTCAGAAAATATCAGTACACTTAAATATCGCATTCAAAAACATGCATACATTTTTTATAGATTTATATATTTATAACATGTTTTTACTGTTATAGGTTCAATTTGATTCCTGCTCCGATTGCACAAAAAGTAGAACAATGATGTTAGATATAACATCGACTGTGATCATTAAAAAAATGCAGATCCAGCAGTTCAGATTGTACTCTCTAATGTTATGCATTTGATGGTGTGTTCTTTATACTATGAATGTTTCCTTTACATTTTTACTAAATATTTAAAATAAATTGTACCCACAGCCTACTTTCCCATCTGCATAACCAGCATTTCCCCCCCTTTGAAAAAGCAAAAGATGAGCGTGTAGTTGTACCTGACATCCTCTCCGTCCTCCAGCATGGACAGACAGATGGTGCACTTCTCATCTGTGTCCAGCTCCTCATCTTCCAGACACATCTTCAGGTCATTCTGGGGTATTCTCTGCAGAGAGAGAGACAGGAAGGACTTTAATTATTAACGTGTGTCGTGCAGCTGTGTGTTGGGAGCCGTTATGTTTATGCCACGGGTGTCTCTGAGTCAGCCCAGACAAATAAGGTGAAAGGAGTCACCTAATGATGCTTCCCAGTAGAAAATAGACCTCAGATAGAAAAGACTCAATTACTTCTTCTCACTCACAGTGTACAAAATGATCTGACACTCTTTCCAGAGTATCTGGGTCATATTCAGTGTAGACAGGTTTTTCAAATGCAATCCACGCACATATCTGCAGACAGCCGGATGACTCATCCCTTGCCGTGAATTTTGCACACTGCAGACCTGTCTCACTAATCTGCTGAGGGAAATGAGTTTGACCTTTGAACTTCTGTGAGTTGCAACCCTCTTTCCACTCTCGTCTTTAATCTTTGATCCTTTCCACTGCTCTTTTCCATCCTGTCTTTCACATCTAGCTTAACTTAGTTCTTGCCCAGTGCCTTCCTCTGCACCAGACCAAATGAAAATATCCATCACTCAGCTAGCAGATAAAAATATGAAAATTGTTACCTTTTTATACTTATGGGGGAAGGTGAATCTCTCTATGGTGGTTTGGACCGCTCCTCTGTTCACACTGCCCAGCCTGTCCTCCAGCTGCAGAAGCTCCTAGCAAGGAAACAACATTAATGGATCTTTGAATTATTTATTTGAATATCTTAAGTCTGACCGGCAGATTAACGGTTGTATAATAACATATTCAAAAGACATACAAGTGTGGAATGCTAATATTAAATAAGTTCTTCAAGCTACAGGAAAGAGCCTCTCAGGAAACGATTGCATCTTATCAAAATGAAAACAAATGTAATGACATTAAAAGGCAGTTGGACCGTTGAGGCATCTGGAAGCTGAGGTAATTGGAAATAAGAAAACCAGTTACGCACTGGAGCCTGTCCAGAGCATTGGTCACAGGGAGAACAATGATAAATGAGCGTGGACTGGTGTGTCTGCGGAGGAGAGTGAGGGGGCAGCGATACGAACCTCATAGCTCTCTCTAACAGCAGAGGCGTGGCGGGAGGGGTTGAGACTCTGCAGAGCCAGCAGGTGCAGCTGGGGATACGGGTAGTTTCTGATCTCATGGACAACCTGGAAGAAGTCGGATAAAAGAAGTTAACGTTTGCTCTGCGGTAGAAATAAGGAAAAAAATGGAACACTGCATCCCCGGGAGCTGGGTATCGAGATGATTCTGCGAAAAAGTGGAGAGAGTCACCGGGAGTTCATCCAGACTAATATGATTGATTGTACTGAGGCAGAGGGGGCTCACCACTTGTGTTGAGGCATTGTTTCTGGGGAAGTGGTGCATCCTAGGAGAGGTCAAGTAGTGTTGATAGTGCTGCGGCAGCGGATGGATGTGATACTGGTGGGGGGGCAGCCCAGCATCTACACTTAGATCCCTGGACACAAATAGAAAAACAAGTCAGCCGATGGCGCAAACTTATATCAGTGTTTCTGGCCAACTGTGTTTTGATAACAGTTGATTTCTACACAGTATTATTTAGGACAGTGATTCCCAAACAAGAGTACTTGTATCGCAGGATTTTTCTCTGCATAAAATATTGTGACGTGAGCTCAACTCATTGGAAAAGTAAGCAGAATTTTTTATTTGAATGATAAAGAAAAAATATATCATGCATTGTGTCACTGTAACACATTGAGAGTACATGAACATAAGTTGGCCAATACAAGGAAGTCTCAGCAGGTAGATAAAAGTGGTGGATTGTTGAACTAGATTGCTTAAAGTAATGGGAAACAGCATATACACTGAACAAAAATATATAATGCAACACTTTTGTTTTTGCTCCCATTTTTCATGAGATGAACTCAATGATCTAAAACATTTTCTATATGCACAAAATAACCATTTCTCTCAAATATTGCTCACAAATCTGAAAAGATCTGTGATAGTGAGCACTTCTCCTTTGCCGAGATAATCCATCCCACCTCACAGGTGTGGCATATCAAGATGCTGATTAGACGGCATGATTATTGCACAGGTGTGCCTTAGGCTGGCCACAATAAAAGGCCACTCTGAAACGTGCAGTTTTGCTTTATTGGGGGGGTGAAAACCAGTCAGTATCTGGTGTGACCACCATTTGCCTCACGCAGTGCAACACATCTCCTTCGCATAGAGTTGATCAGGTTGTTGATTGTGGCCTGCGGAAGGTTGGTCCACTCCTCTTCAATGGCTGTGCGAAGTTGCTGGATATTGGCAGGAACTGGAACACGCTGTCGTATACACCGATCCAGAGCATCCCAAACATGCTCAATGGGTGACATGTTAGGGTTAGGGTTTAACCCTAGGGTTTTTCGGACCCCCCCAAGAGCCCCCCAATAAAGCAAAACTGCACGTTGGGAGACACGTGATTTATGTTTATTTTTACTTGGTGGGTAGGTCCTTAGTGATTTCTCGATGTCCATTGGCCATTTCAGAACATGATGGCTGCCGGCCGAGATTTCCTTGACGGCACACGAATCCACCAAT